CTTCCCCACATACACACACACACACAAACACGCGCGCACATACAGAGGGAGAGAGACAGGCAGGCAGGCAGGAAGACAGACAGACAAACAGGCAGACACACAAACAGACACACAGACACACAGATACACGGACACATACACACACACACACAGGCAGACAGACAGACATAGATCCAGCTGCCTGCGGCAAGGCACGCCGCCGTGCCAGCCCAGCAGTCTGGGTTGCGATTGTTCGATGAGCGTACAGGAAGTCGTACAGTGCGACACCTCGTGTCCCGAGGTGTGGGAGGGCCGTATGTCGCGCGCTCTTCCGCGTCGTGTCGAGGTGTCTCTCCTCGTGTTAGGCGTTGTCGTCATCCTTTCCTCTTCTTCACTCCTCCTCTCTTGGGGCCCCTTGGAGGCCTGTCGAGGGCGTATTGAAGCCCTCTTGGGGGTCCCTTGGGCTCTTTTAAAGGACTCTTGGGCAGTCTGGCGCATTTGGAGTCTGTTTTGGTGGCCTCAATGGGCCGTATTGGGGGCCCTCTTGGAGTTTGAAGGCATGCCCTACGGGAAGCAGAATCGATTGCGTGATCCGCCGCAATTGCTCAAGGCGCCGGCACCCGATCTGTCCGCAGGGTGCTTCGCATACTGCGCGCCATTTGAGGCGCGTGAGAAAGTATGGTCCTTCGCATATTTCTTCTGCGTCACCACCACCACTAAATATTGAACGGCGTCAGGGTTATATTTTTGCTTGGTAACGGAGCTACAGCCACCATGGCGGTAGTTCGGCTCAAGCTCTACTTTTTCCCGGCGATGGTTGCGTTCAACGCGGCCATCCATTCCCACCATCTACGAGGTAGCGCAGACGCCGACGACACCAACGAGCACCTCAAGGACATGATCCCAAGTCACCATCTTCACGACCAGCATGAAGCACTAGTGCACAGCCCACCTACTCCGATTTCGCCACAGAGCCCGCAGAAATACGACCTCTCCACCACTGGAGACCCCCATGCCCCACAGGCGCGACCACGCGATTTTCCAATTGGACCCTCATTCCTCCACATGCGCGGTGACGCGCCTTTCTTCAAGGGAGGCAAAACCACCCAGACCCGACGATTGGCGCTTCCTAGACGGCCCTGGGCGTTTACTGTACAGCCCCGCCCTGTTCGATTCCTTCCTTGGGCGCGTTTACTGAACGGCTCCGCCTGCCGGAGTGGAGATCATCGGGGTGGATTTGTTGTCTGCCCTCTGCGCAGGCGCGGCCACGCGGCTACTCGTTGGAGATCGAGGAGCGCCGCCCAGCGAGCCGCCTCCGCCCAGCCGGCAAGGATCGCAGCCAACAGGGCTATTGCGAGAGAGCGACGTTTGCAACGCCTTGCCCCATGAAAAAGTAGAATTCAATTCAGAGCTTGAAGTTTAGTTGTTAAGGCTGCCTGAGCACAGCTGTAATGCGGGATGACGATTCATAAAAAAAATGGAGGGGAACGATTTAAAAAAATAGTTTCTTGCCATTTCTGCACAATTTCTGACTGGAGGAGAACGATCAAAAAGAATAGTTTTCCAGCTCGCGGCCGGTTTCTTCTAATCGTCCTCCCGGGCGCCGCCGCGTGGACACGACCCCCGGTCATTTATTAATCGTCATCCTCCAGTAACGCTGAAGCCAACGTGCACCACCACCGCCGCCCCCCGAGACCAGGCGGCGCCCCCGAGCACCGCGGCACGGCGCGGCCGCGCGGCGGCGCCCTCCAGGGAGAGAGCCGGCGGCGCCCGCCGCGTGGCGGCGCGGCCGAGCTCTTCGCGGCGACGGCGCGCGGCCGAGGCGCGTCGCGCATCGAGGCCCCCCCCCCTATATATATATATATATATATATATATATATATACACATACATACATACATACATACATACATACATACATACATATGTATATATATATATATATATTGGGAGAAACCCCCCCCCAAAAAAAAAAAACGCCACGAGCTCGCTCCTCTCGAGTCGGGCATGTCCCTCCACAGGAGGAGCAGTCCAAAAGGACCCAAGAATTGTCGAAGGACATTCTTCTGGACTAGATGTTCGACCACCTTTGAGCGTTGGTGGACCATTCTTTTTAGTTTTCGCCCAAGATCCGCCTGTGGGAGGACACGCCCGACCTAACGCCTACTCCGGATCCCATCATCAAGCGCGGGGGGTCACATTTGGGAGGGGGGGCGCGTGATTTGAGCGGTCTTGCAGGGTTCCAGTGGGGCCTGGGCAAAAGACCGCTGGTTCATGGCCGGTCTGGAGGGGGTCTAAGATTGCCAATCTGCAAGGCTTATAGGAGTAGTTGCGACTTGTCTGTTTGCGAAATGTGGAGTACCCAGGGCTTCGAGAATTCCCCCCGGAGAGGCGAACACTGGAGAATGGTTCGGCCCGCTGCTGCACGTTTCTCGGGCGCGCCATGTGTCCTTGTCTAGGAGGCCCTGACGCGAGCAGTCTTCGGCTTGGCCCGCCAGAGCCTCCCCCAGCGGGGCTGGGTTTCGGCCGCCGCGCGCGTTCTTCCGCTAACTGGGGGGTTGCCGAACGCCCTCGGCTCCCCATATCTCTGGCGCTGCGAGTTTTCAGCGCCGTTCGGACGACGACGACGACGACGACGACCTCGACGACCTCGAAGACGACGGCGAATTTCCAGGATTTGGTTTTTCATGTTTTTTTATTCACTCGCTTAGCTCATTCCGCCTGCCCATGTTGCATGATCGCTACTGGTTCGCCGTGGGCCCGGGGCCATTGTGGCGCCGCCGAGGAGGAAGAAGATGAGGATGGGGAAGGGGAGGGGAGGAGGAGGAGAGGATGAGAAGGAGAGGAGGAGGATGAAGATACGTAGGAGGAGGAGGATTAGGAGGAAGAGGAAGGGGCGGAGGAGGAAGCTTCTCGTTGGCATCTTGTGTTGCTCTTGGGGCCAAACAGGGTCGTCATCAAGATGCTTTTTGGGGAGGCCTTCTGGAGTCGTTTGAGAAACCGTTCGGGGGCCTCCTGGGGGCATTTTTGAAGCCTTCTGGAGTGCCTCCTGGGGGCCTCCTGGGACCTCTTGAGGGCCTCTTGGCGGCATCTTGGGGCCTCTTAGGGCCTCTCGGGGCCTCCTGGGGCCCTCTTGGGGCGGAAGGCGCGAGGTTTCGGTTCGTGGTCCCCCTCTTGGGCCCCTCTTGGGGCCGTCTTGCGCCGTCTTGGGGGCCTCTTGGGCCGTCTCGGGGCCCTCTTGAGCCCTCTTGGGGCCCTCTTGGAAGCCTCTTGGCCCGTCTTGGGGCGCTCTTGGGGGCCTCTTGGGCCGTCTTGGAGCATCGGATGGCCGAAAAGGGGACAAGGCCCAAATCCTTCCAAAACCATCGTAAAATGTATGATTTTGGCCTCTCGGGGCCCTCTTGTGAGGTCTCTTGGAGGCCACTTGGAGGCCTCTTGGGCCGTCTTGGGGTCATCATCGGCGTCTTGGAGCCCTCTTGGGGCACTCTTGGCGCGCTCTGGGGGGCCTGAGAAGCCACGCCCAGGAGGAAAACCATCTCTGGGTAGCAGTTGTCGGGCTGCGGTCTGGGTACTTTTCGCCAGGGGACCCCCAGGGGCCGCCCCGCGCGCGCGAATTTGAAATATTGTTAACCAGTTACTGGAGATCTTAGCACGCCTCTGGCCCGTTGGACCGGCGAATTTTTGGGGGCCTCTGGCAGACCTCTCGTCGTCACTGCTGGATCCGCCCCGAGAGTGCGGTATGAACCCACGCCGGGAAGAGTCCATGGGAAACGAGGACGCCGTTCCCAGGTTTCCGGCGGCATGTGTTTTTCGATCCCGGCGTTTGTTCTTCGATATCGGCCCTCCGCGGGTCGTGTTTACGCCCCGAAGCAACCAAAAAATGAACCCAGGACGAAAAACGTTGAGGGCTTGGAAGTTAACACCCTCACCAACAGAGAGGGGCCTCCACCGGGGAAAATGATCATGGATTTTGGTGCTGGTGGTATTGGCCCAAATACCACCGCCATGAATGGTCGAGATTCGCATAATCTTCCCTCGGCGAGGGCAACCGCCGATACTGGCGTTGGTGGCATCCGAAAGCTGATCTTTGGGAAGCGGTCGGGATATTGGGGGCCGTAGATTAGAAAAACAGATCGGCGGATGTCAGGGCTTGCACGGACTCTGACGAGCAAGCCGCGTGCGCGCCCCCGGATCCGGGCGGCGCCGAAAAATCACGATGCCCACGCTTTGGGAATACGGAGGCGGTTTCCCAGCCTGCGTGGACCGTCATAAATCAGGAGAAGAAAAAAAACACAGACACAATGAATCGCCGATTCCCCAGAAAATATAGGAAAATATGGGAAGTGGGGGGGGAAGACAGAAACCCAGAAAATATTAGAAAATATGGGAACTATTGTTATTTGTGTGTATTTATTTGTGTGTCCTGGGGCCCCTTCAATATAGCAATTGAGGGTTCGAGCGTGTCCAGGCGGGGGGGGATGGCGCTGCCCCTGCCGAGTGTTCGCGCCCCCAGGAAGCCCAGCAACGGGGTCCGAGCTGACGGGGTCCGGAGATCGCGCAGCACCGGCGCTGCGGCGCGATTCGGGGTTCGGTCTTCTCCATGCCAACGGCGCCGAGGCATCGCCGACGTCGCCAGTGCATCGCCGATGCATCTGCGATGCCTCGGCGATGCAGCACGATCCTTTGGCCCCGCCTGCTCGGACCTCCTTTCGGAGGCCTCGAGCAGCGCGTGGGATCCGGGCTCCGCCGAGGCGTGCGCGCAGAGCGCGCGCGGCACGCGGGGCACTCCGAAGAGGGCCCCGCGAGGATTCCAGGAGTTGGCTTCTCTTCCTCGACAGAAGGCGGCGGGGACTGGTGGAAGTAAAACGAGGCCGCCTCCGCTGGCGGAAGTAAAGTATGATTTCCAAGAGATGTCAATGTTTGTTGGTTCAGGGTTTTTTGAACCCGCCACGTGCGTGTGCCGCGCACGGCCACATTCGCAGAGGGTGTTGCTGCACGGAGCGTGCGTCGACCTCTCCCGGAGCGGCTCAAGGTTCGCAGCGCATCCCACACGGTGTTCTTCCAGTCTCATCCCGCGGGCGCAGCGTCGCCGAGCGGCCGCGGCTAGCGCCCGCGGCGATGCCATGTCCGCGCCCCCCCGCGCGCGGACACTGCCGCAGCGGCCCTGGCGCGTGGGCGTTCGCTGTGGCGCGCCAGCGCGGGCCAGGGAGGCAGAGGCGGCGGCACGGCTGCGCGCGGCCCGCCCTGCTGCTGCTGGTCGCCGCGGCCGCCTGGGACGCTGGCGCGGGGTCCGCACTCGCGCAGGGCCCTGCTGGCGGCGAGGGCCAGTGGCTGGCAGCGCCACCTCGCCCGCGCCGCTGCGCCGCGAGAGCCAGCCGCTCATCGCCCGAGCATGAGCCAGAGCCCGCCCCGGATGCGCGAGAAGTGCGCGCGGCGGGCGTCGGGGCGCAGCGTGCTGCGCGCCCGCCCTTGGGCACACTCTGGGAGCAGTGGGGCCTCCTGGGCCTCGTGGTCGGCGTGGCCGTCGCACTGACGACGGCCACGCCCGAAGCCCTGGAGGGGCTGGACAACGGCATGGAGGAGCTGGGCTGGCTGGAGGGCGGGCTCGGGCTGGGCGGCACCGTGGCGCTGCTGGAGTTCCAGTTGCAGCAGGGCCTGCAGGACGTGGCCAAGAGCGTCCCGGCGGAAGTGCGACTGGCCTTGGAGCAGCTGGTTGGCGCGGGAGAGCCTGCCCCCGAGGCGGCCTCGGCCGGCGAGGCGGTGGCGGCCGGCCTCAGGGCCAGCGGGGCGGCGGCGGAGATCGCCGGAGCAGCTTCGACGGGCGCCGAGGCTCTTTCGTCCGCTGCGGCGGTCTTGGAGGCAGGCGCGCTCGGTGCCGTCACGGGCGGCTACGCCGGCCTGCTGGCCGGCGCCATGGCGGAGCCCGTGCGGCCGAAGGACGACGCCCGCTTCCTCGAGCCCTCCAACAGGTTCACGCCCGGCACCATCCGGCCCCGCGGTGCGGGCGGCTCGCCGGTGGAGGATGACGAGCGCCCCATGTCGGCCGCGAGCCTCGGCTGGGCGAACTTCCTTCGGGAGTGGAAGCAGCTCCTCCGCGCCGCGGGAGGTGACGAGGCCCGCTTGCGCAGGCACGTTCCCAGCTTCGTCGCGAACCTCGTCCTGAGCAACGAGGCCGTCCTTGAGCGGGAGAGGGCTCGACCAGAGGTCCCCACGCCTGTGCCCGTGAGGGTGGCGTACGACGTCCTGTGCTGGTTCATCGACGTCGTCTTCGAGGACCGGCCCATCCAGCGCTTCTGGTTCCTCGAGACCGTGGCCCGGATGCCGTATTTTGCGTACTCGTCAGTGCTGCATTTGTACGAGACCCTTGGCTGGTGGCGATCCCCAGAGCTGCGCGCGGTGCACTCGGCGGAGGAGGACAACGAGCTCCACCACCTACTCATTATGGAGTCGCTGGGCGGCGACCAGCGCTGGCTTGACCGGTTCTTCGCCCAGCACGGCGCGATCGCGTATTATTGGATTTTGATATTGTTTTTCGTGGTCGATCCGCGGTGGTCCTATAACTTCAGCCGACTAATCGAGGCGCACGCGGTGGACACCTACGGGGAGTTTGTGGATGCGAACTCCGAGCTTCTCAAGCGGCTGCCGCCACCGCCAATCGCCGTCGAGTACTACCTATCCGGCGAGCTCTACCTATTCGACAAGTTCCAGACCGCGAAGCGCGCCAGCGGCCAGATCCGCAGGCCGCCGTGCGCGACGTTGCACGACGTCTTCTCGAACATCCGCAAGAATGAAAACCGCACGAACGTAAACGTTCGCAGCTCCTCGCGGATTTCTTGCATCTGCGCCGGGCACCCCTGGCAGCGCCTCTGGCGCCGCCCCTGGCGCGCGGGGGAGGGACCAGCGCGAGCCCAAGAAGTCCGCGCGGAGCTTCGAAAGTTTATGCTCATGCGACATTTTCTTCTTCGAACCATCCGCGACGACGAGGAGCAGCACGTGCTGACGATGGAGGCGTGCGAGGCGTGGGTAGCTGGCGGCGAGCCGCCCGTGCCCGTCGGCTTCAACCAGATCAGCGAGGAGGAGTACAGGGAGGCCGTGGTACGCGACCCCGCGGGCAGGGCGGCCTGGGAGGCTTGGGGCAAGGAGCTCAACGCCGCGGTGCGCGCTCGGGAAAGGAAAAAATCTGATGCGTAGGCAGTTGTCCACGGCGTATGCGTGCGCGCGACCTCTCTTCGCCGCTGGATGTTTGCGCGCCGCTGAGGTCGACGATCCTCAGGATGTTTGTTAGCTCATGCGTAGGTGAGTGTGTTTGTGTGATTGCATGTGTGCGTGGATGGGTGTATGAATGCGTGTGTTTCTGTGTGAGTGTGTGTGTGTGGGTGCGTGTGTGTTATGTGTGTGTGCGTGTGTTGTGTGTGGTGCGCGTGGTGTGTGATGGTGTGAATGTGTGTAGTGTGCGAAAGTGCGTGTGTGAAAATGAATGTGTGTAGGAGTGTGTGTATGAGTGTGAATGTGCGAATGTGAGAATGTGTGACTGTGTGGATGTGTGAACGTATGAATGTGTGAATGTGTGGATGTGTTGTCTGTCTGTCTGTCTGTGTCTGTCTGTGTCTGTCTGCCTGCCTGTGTGTCTGCGTGTATATGTTTGTCTGTCTGTCTGTCTGTCTGTCTGTCTGTCTGTCTGTCTGTCTGTCTGTCTGGCTGGCTGGCTGGCTGTCTGTCTGTCTGTCTGTCTGTCTGTCTGTCTGTCTGTCTGTCTGTCTGTCTCTCTGTCTGTGTGTTTGTGTGTGTGCGCGTGTGTGTTGCGTGTGCTGCGTGTGTTGTGTATGCGGTGCGTGTGAATGTGCGTGTGAATGCAAGCGTGTTGTGTGTGAGTGTGTGTGTGTTGTGTGTGTGTGTTGTGTGTGTGCGTGGACGCGTGCGTGTGCGTGTGTGCGTGTCTGTACCTGTGTCTGCCCAGCCGGCACACTGCTTTGCAGCGACCGCCTCAGCACCTGCAGGCCATGCATCGATTGCGGCGTCCAAACATGGTTGGCTTGCCCTGGCCGCCGGGTCTCTAACGTCTCGCTCGCCCTTGCAGGTCCCGCCCTGTCCAGATACTGCTGTCACTGGGGGATGTGGCACAGTTCCTGCGGCTGGCCTTGGGCCCATACAGTGACCACCGTGCATCAGCTCGTCCGCTATCTCAGGCACGCCCATCTCAACGAATTCGAAAATCAGTACGACTCGGTCGCGCGACACGGTTCCGCGCCGATTGCCGTCTAGGTGCCTCCATCCGCCGCATGTCCCGTGGCCCCTGAGCCCACCGCGACGGGCCCCCCTGGCAGCGGACACATCCTTCGCTTCATCCTGAAGTGTCCGGAATGCTGCGCCAAGTGGTCCATCCCAGAGCACCCACCTCCATACTGGTTGGCTCGGCGACTGCCCCAACTCCGAGCATCCCTGCCCGGATGCCTCAGTCATCAACGGGCTTATCTACCCGTTGGCCGCGGCCCCGCGCGCCCCCTCGGCGGACCATCAGCCAGCCGCCGCTCCATCCGCGGCGTCAGAGGCGGACCGCCTGCCCCTGGTCCCCGCCTGTTGCGCGCCTCCGCTGCCGCTGCGGCGGGCTCAGGCTCTGCATTCCCGACCTGCGGCCGCCCCCCAGCTACGACCAACGGGGTGCCCGCGTCGGATGCGGCACGCACCTGGCGAGGATCCAGCAGGTGGTGCCCCCTGCTCTCGCATCACTTGGCCCCCTGGCCCTGCTGCTGGGAGGCCGCGCGCGACGCCGCATGCTCGAATCCTGCTGCGAGAGCATCGGCGCTGCGGCATGGAGCCGCCTGCCCCTGCACTGGGCGCGGGCCGCCCCCGTGGCGGCATAGAGGCAACCCCCCGCCGCACCAGGCGCGGGAGCCCGCCAGCCCCCTGGTTGCGCACGGCGCGGGCCCCCTCGCGTGGGCCGCCGCTGCCGCGCACGGCCGCGCGCCCCTGGGGCGCGCCGCCCCTGTCAGCAGCAACGGCTCCAGGCGCTCCGGCTCCACCCCGCGGGTCGGGAGCGCCGAGGGCCGGCCACCGAACAGCTGCGAAGGGTGGCACAGCCCCGACGCGGTCAATTGGTTCCACGTCGCTCCGGACGAGGGCAACGGCATGGAGGACGAGGAGCACTTCCGCAACGCAGTGATCATGCCTGTCGGGCCGCAAAGACTTGCTTCCCCTACCACGACAGCTCGGGAGATGGAGGACGCCTCCCGCGCTGCATACGATGAGTGGCGCAGCTCCTCGCCGTCCATGTGGCCCTTGCGAGCGAGTCGCCTCGCCCACACCCCTTCCCCTCCCCCACCCCGTCTCTTAGCTGCCTCGGGCGCGGATCTGCCCGCTCCTGGCGCTGGTCGCTGGCCGGGGGCTCCGCCGCTCCGCCGCTCATGCCTAACGCCCTGCCGCTCGGTGCCCTCGGCGCCTCTTTTGCGGGCCGCTGCCTCTCCTGGCGGTCCGCCGTTTGCTCGCTGGCCGGCAGCTGCCCGCTTGCTTGGCGCTGGCTCTCCGCGCTGCCTGTCGCATCACGCCCCGCACAGCTGGACCCCCTGGGTGGATCCTCAGCGGCGATCGCCAGCCCTGGTCTCACCCGCGTCACCGCCGCGCTTCTTCCGCCCCCCTCTGGCCATCACGCTGGCTCGGGCTCGGATCTGCCCGCCCCTGGCACTGGCCTCTGTTTCGGGGCTTTCGATGCTGGTACCGGCCACCCTCTCCCGTGCGCCTGGGGTCTCTCTCGCGGCACGCTACATCGCCCTGGCGGCTCCCGTCTTTCGCTTTGGACTGCGACAGCCCCGCTGGCCACTGGGCCCGGGTCCGCTTCGCCCGTCTACGGCTCGGCACACACCGTCTCTTCTCCTCTGCGGCGTGCCACTCGGGCTCGCTCCCTGCAGCCGCCCGCGCTGCACCGACCCTTGCCTCGCTGATCCCGTGGGTGGACCCTCAGCGGCGATCGCCCGGCCGCGCCGCCCAAGTGCTTCTCCCGGGCGGTGCTCTCGCTTCTGGACGCGCAAGCGCCCCACTCACCCCGCGCGCGGCTCGCCACGCGCCGCCGCTCCGTGGCGCGTGGCCCGGCCGCGCGGCCTCCATCTGGGCCAGCTTGGCTCCTCTTTTTCCTTCGTCGCGCTGCCAGTTCCGACCCCAGGGTCGGCCCTCTGGGCGCGTCGGGCTGGCTTGCACTGCAGCTCGGCCTGCTTGGCCGCGCCGCTCTCCCTTTGTGGAGTCGGCTCCTGGTGGCACAACGTGGCGGCCTTGCTCCACTGGCGCGCCATCCCCACCCGGCCCCTGGCCCGCTGGCTCCTTGCCCGCCAAGCGGGCCGCCGCCCCCGGCCGCTCTTTGCTTGGGCTCCTTCGCTCTCGCTGCCTCGCCCCGCTGCGCTTGCCGCACCTTCCGCCCTGCCCCGCCTCGCGTCTCGCCGTCGTCGTCGTCTTCCTCCTCCTCGTCGTCGTCGCCGCCGTCGCCGTCGTCGTCGTCGTTGTTGTCGCCGTCGTCGTCGCCGTCGTCGTCGTCCTCTGGCCGGGCTCGGCTTGCCGCCTGCCTGCCCTCGCCAGCGCCCTCTGCCGCCGGCCGCTGGCGGGCGCCCCCCCCCCCTTCGCCCGCCTCGACTGGGCTCTGCCCGCCGCCCCCCGCCCGCTCTGGCGCGGCCCTCTGCTCCCCGCTCTCGCCCGCCGCTTGCTGGGGCGGCGCGGCCTCGCCCCCCGCTGCCCGGCCGCCTGCTGGCTCGCCCGGCGCCTGCCCCCCGCTGCCCCGCCCGCGCCCGGGCGCCTCCCCGCGGCCCGCCGCCTCCCCGGCTGTCGCCGCCCGCTGCCGCCCCGTGAGGGGGGCACCCTTTTCGTTGCCTTGCTTCCAGCGCGCGCGCGCCGGCGACCTCGCTTTGACGCCACGGCGGTGCGCCTGGCCGCGACGGCCGAAAAGTGTATGTGTGTGGCGTGTGGGTGCGTGCGTGTGTGGGGGTGTGCGTGTGTGCGTGTGTGCGTGTGTGCGTGTGTGCGTGTGTGCGTGTGCGTGTGCGTGTGCGTGTGCGCGTGCATGTGTGCGTTTGGGTGTTTGGGTGTTGTGTGTGTGGGTGTTGTGTGTGTGCGTTGTGTGCGTTGTGTGTGCTGTGTGTGTTGTGTTGTGTGTGTTGTGTTGTATGTGCTTTGTGTTGTGTGTTATGTGTGGTGTGTGTGTGTGTTGTGTGTGCTGTGTGCTGTGTGTTGTGTGCTGCGTGTGTTATGCGTTGCGTGTGCTGTGTGTTGTGTGTTGTGTGTTGTGTGTTGTGTGATGCGTGTGTGTGTGTGTGTTGTGTGTTGTGTGTTGTGTGTTGTGCGTGGTGTATGTGTGTGTGGCGCGTGTGGTGTGTGAGGTGTGTGTAGTGTGTGTGTGTGGAGAGTGTGGTGTGTGGAGTGTGAGTGAGTGTGTGTGTGTTTGTGTGTGCGGATGTGTTCGGTGTGTGTGCGGTGTGTGTGTGTGTGAGCGGTGTGTGTGTGCGGTGTGTGTGGTAGGTGTGTTGTGTGTTGTGTTGTGGGTGGTGTGTTTGTGTTTGTGTGTTTGTGTGTTTGTGTATTTGCGATGTGGGTTGTGTGTTATCTGTATTGTGTGGTGCTTGTGTGTGTGTCTGTGTGTGCCTGTGTGTATGTCTGTGTGTTGCGTGTGCTGCGTGTGATTGTGTATGTGGTGCGTGTTTGTGTGTGCGTGTGTACTTATGTTAAATGAAAGTGTGATGTGTGTGCGTGTGTGTGTGCGTGTGTGTGCGTGCGTCCGTGTGTGTTTTTGGTGTGTGGTGGGTGCGGGTGTGGGTATGGGTGTTAGTGTGGGTGCGTGTGAGTGTGCGTCTTCATGTGCGTGTGCGTGTGTGTGTGTGCGGGTGGTTGTGGTTGAAGTTGAGGTTATGGTCGTGGTTGTGGTTGTGGTTTGGGTGTGGGTGTGGGTGCGTGTCAGCGCGTGTGTGTTTGTGTTTTGTGTTATGTGCCGTGTGTGTTGTGTGTTGTGTTTTGTAGGTGGTGTGTGCGGTGTGTTGTGTGGTTGTGTTTGTGTGTGTGTTGCGGTGTGTGTGTGTTGTGTGTGTTATCTGTATTGTGTGGTGTGTGTGTGCCTGCGTATGTGTCTGCGTATGTCTGTGTTTTGCGTGTGTTGCGTGTGGTGTGTATGTGGTGCGTCGGAATGTGTGAGCGTGTGTGTGCGTGTGTGTGTGAATGTAAGTGTGTGTTGGGTGTGTGCGTGCGTACGTGTGTGTGCGTGTTGTTGGGGGGTGGTGCGGCTTAATTCGCATTCGTATGTCCACCGAATGCTCTTCCGCCAGCGCAGTCACTCTGCCTAGCC